TCATCTAGTAGCATCTAAATACCCAGCAACATTTTTTAAATTGCCCATGGACATTAGATGGTAATCAGATATCTAATGGTGCCTATGGACATTACATGGTGATCAGACAACTGTCGATACCCATGGACTTTAGATGGTTATTAGAAAACTAAAGGTGTCCATGGATGTTAGTTGGTGATCAGACATCTAAAGATGCCCATGTACGTTAGAATGTTACCAAACAGCTAAATGTTGCCCATGGACATTACATAGTGATCAGACAACTGTCGTGCCCATGGACTTTAGTTGGTTATTAGAAAACTAAAGGTGCCCATGGATGTTAGTTGGTGATCAGACATATAAAGATGCCCATGGACGTTAGAATGTTATCAATCAGCTAAATGTGCCCATGGATATTAGATGGTAATCATATATCTAAAAGTGCCCATGGACATTACATGGTGATCAGACAACTGTCGGCGCCCATGGACTTTAGCTGGTTATCAGAAAACTAAAGGTGCCCATGCATGTTAGTTGATGATCAGACATCTAAAGGTGCCCATGGACATTAGATGGTAATCGTGTATCTAAAGGTGCCCATGGACATTACATGGTGATCAGACAACTGTCGGTGCCCATGGACCTTAGTTGGTTATCAGAAAACTAATGGTGCCCATGGATGTTAGTTGGTGATCAGACATCTAAAGGTGCTCATGGATGTTAGAATGTTATCAAACATATATAGGTGCCCACAGACATTAGGAAGTTCTCAAGCATTAAATTGTGATCATAGATGTTGGATGGTTATTAGACATTCAAAGGCAACCATAGATGTTATATGGTGTTCAAACATATAAAGGTGCCCATGAACGTTGGATGGTTTTCAGACGTCTAAAAACACCCATGAATGTTAGTTGGTGATCAGACATATAAAGATGCCCATGGACATTAGAATGTTATCAAACAGCTAAATGTGCCCATGGATACTAGATGGTAATCATATATCTAAAAGTGCCCATGGACATTACATGGTGATCAGACAACTCTTGGTGCCCATGGACTCTAGTTGGTTATCAGAAAACTAAAGGTGCCCATGGATGTTAGTTGGTGATCAGACATATAAAGGTGCCCATGGACATTAGAATGTTATCAAACAGCTAAATGTGCCCATGGATATTAGATGGTCAACATATATCAAAAAGTGCCTGTGGACATTACATGGTGATCAGACAACTGTCAGACTTTAGTTGGTTTTCAGAAAACTAAAGGTGCCCATGCATGTTAGTTGATGATCAGACATCTAAAGGTGCCCATGGACATTAGATGATAATCATGATTCTAAAGGTGCCCACGGACAATACATGGTTATCAGACAACTGTCGGTGCCCATGGATTTAGTTGGTTATCAGAAAACTAAAGGTGCCCATGGATGTTAGTTGGTGATCAGACATCTAAAGGTGATCATGGACGGTAGAATGTTATCAAACATCTATAGGTGCCCATAGACATTAGGTAGTTCTCAAGCATTAAATTGTGATCATAGATGTTGGATGGTTATTAGACATTTAAAGGTGACCATAGATGTTAGATGGTGTTCAAACATATAAAGGTTCCCATGAACGTTGGATGGTTTTCAGACATCTAAAGACACCCATGGATGTTAGTTGGTGATCAGACATCTAAAGGTGCCCTTGGTTAGAATTTAGATGATGTCCAGATGTCCATGTGGCTGACCTCTTCCCAAATGCTGAGAAGAAAATGAAAATCCTGTGAATGTCCAAGCTTTCATTGATGAACGTCATGTACTTCCTAAAAGGCTGACTGATGCAAGACATTAACAAGGAATGTGCGAACTTCAAATTGCATTTTTTTTTTAAATTGCTTTTTATTTAGTGAGGAATATTACAGTCTTTTACAATTTTGTTCCTGCACATAAATCACTATTTGTCAAAGAATAAAAACAAAATCAGCAAAACATCTGGGTTGCACAAGTATGCATAGTGGCATGTAGGTATGTGGACAGTTCAAAACCATTTTTCCTATGCAATATTTCCTATAAGACAGTGCAAAAAAAATATACATCCTTAAACATATATATATAGATATACTGTATCATCTCTAACTGTAAAATAAACTAATTTGGTACAAAAAAAAAATAAAAAAAGTTAATAAATTAAAAAAGACTCAATAGAACATGCTGCTGACATATGCAAGAGCATTCAACCCTTGAGCTATTGAGGAGCTATTGAGGAGCCATTGTGTTCACCAAACACTCACAATAACCACAATGTGATTCCAAACATAACATATATCCTGTTCCAATGACTGTGTACTGTCTGTGCATTCTTGCCATCCTGAGGGTCAGCCCCAGTGTAGACAATTGTGGGCTTATCATTGGCTCGGAGTATTCTGAGAAGAACTTTGCAGTCTCAGAGAACCACAAAGACATACCCTTATATTTTTTATTAGCAAGCAGAAAAAGATGATCGAAGCTTCAAAGTGAAAAGACTAAAGTAAATAAAATATAGAAGCGATCCAGCCACTTCCACCCAGTAACCTGGTCCAAAAAGCCAGGATAAAGCACAAAACATTTTGCCGTCTTTTTACGTTTAGGAGGATTGTACACCGTCCTTCCTCTTTACTTTTCCTTTTTCAATTTAAAAATGGTGTGGGTCCTATTTATCAAGCTTGGGAAATTGTATTGTTTGGTTTTTAGCAAAATGATGCAGTTGTCAGAGCGTTTGCAGCCCATACTGATTTTAGAGGGAGGCTCTATGTATGATATATGGCATCTGCCACTGATAACTTGGCATTATACAATGCAGGTTATATGACTGTTTATATTTATTTCAGGTATTTATATAGCGCCATCCATTTACACAGCACTTTACATATATATTGTACATTCACATCAGTCCCTAACCCTCAAGGGGCGTACAATCTAAGGTCCCTAACTTACATTCATACATACACATACTAGGGACAATTTAGACAGGAGCCAATTCACCTACCAGCATGTCTCGGGAGTGTGGGAGGAAACTGAAGGAAACACACACAGGCACAGGGAAAACATGCAAACTCCAGGCAGATGGTGTTGTGGCTGGGATTTGAACCAACAACCCGAGTACTGTCAGGTGGAAGTGCTAACCATTAAGCCACTATACTGGCCATAAATGTAAGAATAAATGACTGATCAATCTTGGGTGAAATTATTGCATGCAGTTTTAGCTTGATTAACAGACCAATGATAAATATAGATTTTGTTGCATTCTACTCATTTTTCCACCTGGACTAAATTTTTTTTTTTTAGGGAAATAATTCATTGATCAAGCCACCCAAATGGAGTTGTCTTTTTCCCTTTAAAAAGAGATTTTGCTAATAGTAGTTAGTCACATTCATCTGCACTTGTTCAGACCTATCAAAGAGGTCTAGTAGATTATCCAAGGCACTTTTTTCAGTTACAGTGAATATCAGGAAGCGGGGCGGACTGACAACTCATGGGGCCCTCGGGCAATAGGGGATCATGGGGCCCCTATGTCCTTGTCCACACTCAAAAAAGCCTATAAAAAAGGTATCAGGGGCATTTTATGGGGCCCCCTACTGACCCTGGGCCCTCGGGCAGTGCCCAAGTGCTCGAATGGTCAGTCCGCCCCTGTCAGGAAGATACCCAGCACTTAAATCCAATCCCCAAGGAATGTTTAGATGCTGATTGTGGAAGAACAGGATGGAAGGTGTGAATGTTTTTGAACCACCAACAAATTTCACACCTATTTTGTTCTTGGACACTCAACATCTGCTCATTCCACAATGACTGGATTAACCGCTTGATCTCTGGAAAATTTTACCCCCTTCATGACCAGGTCAATTTTTGCTATTCAGCACTGTGCTACTTTAACTGGCAATTGCTCGGTCATTCAACACTGTAGCCAAATGAAATTTATATAATTTTTTTCACACAAATGGGAGTTGTATTTTGGTGATATTTGATCACCACTTGATTTTTTTGTTTTTTTTTATTATATAAATGAAAAAATACCGAAAGTAGAAAATATTTTCTACTTTCTGTTATAAAACATATTCCATAAAAAAATTAAAAAAATCTAATTAATTCACTTTACTTTCTGTTATAAAACATATTCCATAAAAAAATGTAAAAAATCAAATTTATTCACTTTACTTTCTGTTATAAAACATATTCAATAAAAAAACTAAAAAATCTAATTTCTTCATAAATTTAGGCCAAAATGTATTCTGCTACATGTCTTTGGCAAACAAAAATCCCAATAAGTGTATTTTAATTGGTTTGTATTAAAGTTATAGCGTGTACAAACTGTGGTATATATACTGGAATTTATGCAGCTATGATGTAATACTGTTAAAGGCAGTGATCAGTAAAATATAGTAGGATTGTGAATGTGTGGCAGACTGGGAGGTACACTAACTGACACTGATATCAATAGTCACATTAATACAGTGATCAGTGCTAATATTGTACACTGTCACTGTACTAATGACACTGGCTGGGAAGGGGTTAATATCTAGAGACAATCAGAGGGTTACCTGTGTGCCTAACAATGTGTAATATGTGCTGCTATTACTAATAGATCAGGCTGTTTTTCTCCCTGATTTGCAGGGAGAAAAGCAGCCAGATCGCTGCTCTGTGTACAGAGTCCTGTGCTGTTTGCAAACGCAGAACTCTGTGCTGTGATTGGACACAGCCAATCAGCAGGTCTCAGCCATAAATCAAAATTGTGCTGTGTGTAACCACAGACCTGGAAACATGCTAACAATGTTTATTTGCAATAAATCTACTGTGACCTAGCCAGGGGCGGACTGACCATTCAGGGCCCAGGGTCAGTAGGGGGCCCCAAGAAATGCCCCTGGTACCTTTTATAGTCTTTTTTGGGTGTGCTTTGAGTGTGGGCAAGGACACAGGGGCCCCATGATCCCTCTATTGCCCGGGGGCCCCATGAGTTGTCAGTCCACACCTGGACCGAGTGGCAAGTGTGTGTTATGTATATAAATGATGAGGTATCTTCTCAACTGTCATTGGCTTGGAGAAGCTACACAATTTCTTCAACATTAAAGAACATGTTTTGTTGAATGTGACCACCTACTAGATATACCATGACCTGGATAAGTGAGAACCTTCCCAGAAACATTCCATATTGCTCCAAATATGAAGCATTGGGAAAATGGCAATAATAGAATTTACAGCACATAGACTGAATGTTAATGGATGTAGAGCTCCCCAGTGGCTCAGAATATTTCCAGAGAGGAGGTTGCTGGACTTGATAGAGCTGGTGACCTGTCTACTGACATGGATCATTAAGGTTTGGAATGTACAAAGACAGGTCGGGATGGAGGGTGTACATGGGGGTGTCTAAAGCGGCAAGCTGACAATAGAGGTACCCATAGACATAGGAATATGGTCAAGCAATGTGACCGCCATCATATATTTGCATAGAATTAGGATGGTGTAAGCAAGGTTAATCACAGTGGCGGAGCGTACATGTTTACACACTGTGCAGACACCTCAGATTCCAACTTATTTTAACTTGAGGTGATTGTAGCCGTATTAGTGCATTTGCGACACTCACAAAGTTTCACAAAGTTTAAACTTTGTGATTTGTAATAGTACTGTTTGGACTTTGAAGAAGGGGACATACCCCGAAAGCTTGTCCTCAAAATTGTATGTTAGTGCAAGTAAAAAAAAGTATCACGGACAGTACTCAACTTATTTTAAAGAACGGTAGTGAAAATCTAGAAAATCCATAGCGGTCAATTCCTATCCATTCTTGTCTTATTGACTCAGGGGGGACTGCACTGGTAGGGGCAGCCTATAGACCCCCATATATCTCCCAACCATCTGTCATCACCTGGACTGGACAGCGATCCTCTCTTAGCTATAGGTAGATAGTGGAAGAAGTCAGACTTACAGTGACATAAGTCATCTCTATAAGAAACAAAAGCAGCTTTTTCCTAGACAAGGTATTTCCTTCAGCAACAGCTTTTTCGATTTTAGTACCGGTTAGAGAAGATCTGGTTACATTTCAAAATTTGTTATAATTCCTGCAATTCATAAGCACTGCCTTCGACATGTTGGCCTATTTCTTATAGCAACATCTTCTCTGGCTTGTTTAACCATTCCTATTTATGTTTTATACCTGTTTGTGTTTTATTACTTGAACTGTTTCCCCTGTTTTGACTCTTTGGCTTAGGTACCAACCAGTCATAATCCACAGTTCAAGTATTGTCTATTGACCAACAATGCATGTGGACACAGAACTGACCTCATATGTATGAAGACACTTTACTGACTAACAAGGTAAGGGGGCATGCATGTAAGGAGGCCCTTCTCCACTGACTAAGTAAAGGGGGCATTTACACTGGCCATCAATAAAAAAGGTGCCCTTTTACTAAACACTAAAGAAGGTCTTTTCCACTTCCCACCTACATTAATGGAATCCTAAGTGGGGCCTTTACAGTGATCCTTAACCCCTTGGTGCAGGCACCTCCCTGCCCTTTAAGGGTTACAGAAGCTGGGAGGCGGGACGGGGTTTAAGGTCATGTGACCACTGTCACATGCCATCACAGCAGTCACATGATCGGGAAATGTCCCGATCGAAAGAGGAGATCGGGACCTTTCCGAGAGTACCGGACATGTGTGCTGGGAGCTCGCAGGGCACGCTCTCTCAGCACATATGTTTTTTTTTTAATAGAACGCAAATGTGCGACCGCTCGGCATCTAGGCCCAGACGTTGGGAGGCCGCACATTTGCGTTCAGCAGGCGCCAAGAGATTAATAACCATTAAACCACATTGAAACCACGCTAAAATACCAAAAAGCTTACCAATAATACATGTAAAATTGCATTGTTTAAATTACCGAGTTGTAAAGAGTACCTTAAAGATGGTTTAGTAGAGAGGGAAAGGGGTATGAAATAAGGGGTGCCATCATCCCTTTAAGTGCAATTCATGCATGACCTACCTCTACATCGGAAATACCATCTTTGATGACATTTGTATTGTAGCTTCATGTTTGTTTTAAGATTGTAAAAATAAAACTGCATATCTTTTAAAGTTTTGAATTGTTCAGTTTATCCTATAAGAGAATTATGCCAATAAAGTCCCACCAAGAGGACTTCCCCATTGTAAAGATGGTTTAGGGGCCATAAGGCATTGTGAATTCTAGGTAAAAACTCACCAAAATGCAATCACAATAGACTTTAATTTATATAACAACTATTTTTTTTTTTTAATTCTGTATACGTGTATATTGTAAAAAAAAGTTTGTGTGTGTTATTAATTTTCCAAGTGTGGTTGAACCCAGCAGGTGCTTTTAAAAAACTACTTTGTCACATGATCTCTGTCCAATCAGCTCACTCTGTAATTGGGACCAGCACTAAAGGGTGCCTAGGTACATTTCTGGGAACAGGTGCAATGAACAGCCTTTCCTAACAGCGCATCTAATTTTATGAGATGTACTGTATGTAAGTGTTGACCCATCTACTGAAGTCTT